GCATAGAAAATAAAAAAATGCTGTTGCTTTTCAACAACAATGTTATAATTAAACTTTCTTTCTTCTTTTTTTTTTTTCTTTTATTTCTCTTTGTCAATGTTTTGCCAGTATTTTCCAGTTTCTATTTTTGTGCATATTTTTCATTTTTTATTGTTATCTTTTTTATCATTCTTACTTAATGCATACAATTGAATAAAAAGTCAACAAATAAATTGGCTACATCAGCAAAAATTGTTGCTGATTTTAACAGCAATGAATTGAAGTATAATAGCAACAACAAAATAAAAGTAGTGAAAATGATAATAGTCAAAAAAACAAAAAAAAAGAAATCAACTAAGATTATGTAAAAGTTGTACTTAAATACAGACATAAAAGCTTGAACTATATATGATATATAAATGACAAAATTTTTAACTGATTTGCGACACCAAATAAACCATCTGAAGCAACGACAAACATCTTTTTCACAGCTTTTTTCGGTTTAACTGTAATAGAATCAGATTCGACAAATTTTTAAAGATTTAAAGAATATTGTAGCTTAGTAAAAGTTTGCAACAAACAAATGAATAAATTTAGGGAGACCATTCTGTTGGTACAAAAACCGTTTATTAGTTTTTATCCAACAAAAAGAAAAGTTAAAGGTGTGTTTTTAGAGGGAATAATTCTGTTTCTTCTTCATGGGAAAAATGTTTGTTGCAAGAATAAACGACTAAAAAAGTGTTGAGATGATTCACAGTTTTTGCATTATTATTTATGAACGTCTGTTAGAGTTATCTAATAAGTGCTCAGCAAAAACATAAAATTTTCCAAAGGAAAAAAGAGGAACGAAACTACAATACAATACTTTTTGAAGCGACATCTAACAGCAGTGAAATCACAGTTCAAAGATGTCATTTTCTGGTTTGGTTGCAATAAGCTAAAAAAGAAAAAATTATAGCAAAAAATTTTGTTGACAAAATCAGTAAAAAATGAAATGACAAAAAAACTGTAGCAGAAAAAAGAGCAAAATAAAACATACCAAAAATACAGTGTACAAAATTTATTTATCTTAATCGGAACTATAAGGTTTTTTTTTGCTAACCGAACTGTAGTGACCCTGACTGAAAGTCGCGGCAGAATAAAGGAGAAGAAGAATTAGAAAAAGAAAAAAAAGAAGAAAAAGATGGAAATCAGAAAAAAAAAAAGAAAGAAAAAACGCGTTTTTAAGACAAATATTTGGGAAGAATCAGTGGGAACTGAAATTTAAAAGTCGTTAATCCTGTTGGACACTTCGAGTTTTGACTGATTTGACTTGATTTTTTCTGTTTTTTTTTTTTTTTTTTTGCAGTTAGATCAAGAATCTGTCATCATGTTGACCGACAAATACAGCAATATTGCAATTTGATAGGTTGACGTACCGAGAACAAGCCTACTCCGGATACCTGAATTTACTGCTTTTTCTCACTAAAATAAATAGCAGACAGCAATTTTGTGTTCGTCATTTGACGGATGTTAACAATTGGCTTGTCGGCTGATAGCTATCGCTATGGTAGTGGTCAACAAAAAATAGCCTACACTTCGTATATTTTCTGTATTATTCTTTTTTTTTTTTTT